GTTGAGGAAGGTGGCTTCTTTGAAGCCGGAACCTTCCTCCGCTTTACGCCCGCGACCTTGCCGACCTTCTCTGCCGCCGGCCGAGATCGCGCTGCCATGTTGGCGCCCGGAGCGCGGGCCATCGTGGCGGGGGCGGCCGGATTCCCGCCCCGCACGACCACGTTGCCCTGCGCTTGCGGGCAGGCGCGGCGTGGGCTTGGGCGACGGCGGCGGGGCCAACATGGTCGGCGACAAGATCCGCCCGAGGGGAAGGGGCGTGCACGACCTCGACGGTGAGGGGGGACGGCATGGGGTCGTCCATGGCGGTGAGGGACGACGGGGGAGGAGCAGCCGGAGCTTGCGGAGTGGGGGCGATGGTGGCGGAGGGTGCGGGAGCGGGAAGGGCCGCGCGGAAATGTCCCTCCCGCCAAATCTCGCGTGGGATAGGTGTTGAGCTCGGGTCGGCCTCCCAGCCCATGAAGATAGAGGTTGGGGGAGAAGATTTGTCGCGCCCCGCAAAAAAATTACGGGCCGGGGCGGGGTGTCGGGTCTGCTCGTGCAGATTTTCTGGCCCCGACCCACAATTTGGCGGTTATTTTGCGGGCCGGGGTGTTTTACGGGGTCTGCTAGAGTTGCTCTAAACACTTTACTGCAATTGAAAGGCCTAACACGTTCCTTCGCAGCTACTTTGGCTGTAGCCGAAGAGTGTTTGAACGATTTATGCTTGGGTTTCATTCTTGGTTTGTCATTCTATTCTACAGAAAATCACTTAATGTTTTTGTTAATCAACCCGCAGTACAGTTGTAAATCTGATTTTTGCTTTTGCCAAGAACCCCTCACGATTGTGGTAATCAACTTGCATATCAGTTTTAAGTCAGATTTTCATTTTTGCAGGAAATCCGTTGATAATTGGCTTAATGAAACCGTTTATAATAGTCATATCCTTTAAAACCCAACTTCAAACTTACTAACATGTTGTATAATAGCAACCTTAATAAATAGCACATGATTTGTCTTAATTTTATACCGGTGCCGATCCAGGTTGGAAATGAACACCTCAGTAAAATCAAGATTAAAGACGAAAGAAATCATCTATGACCACGCATGCACGCCTAGCCAAAACCTCATAGAAAAAAAAGCAGATTTCTCATCTTATGTCGAGACACACACGCCTTAGGTTTCACAACATTCAAACACGTTATGATTGTGTGACCACTTATGCCACCTTCCACGAGGATGTGACCATGAGTAAGTGACAACGCAGATGTGATGTCATATGTTTAAAGAGAGGATGTGGACCTATTGGGGTCTTGACTCATGGTTATTGGGTTAGGATGCTCTTTTGCTATAAAGGGAATATGTATTCTTGGTGTGTCATGCTATTTTGTAGAAAAGTCCCTGATGTTTCTCTTATCAACCTACAATCCAGTTTTAAGTTGAATATGTAGAATCTGAATATGTTGTTATTTTATCTGCTAACCATTTTAAAAATGCTATTTAGAGTGCAACCTTAATCAATAGCGCATGATTTGTCTTACTTTCATACCGGTGCCCATCCAAATTGGAAATGAACACCTCAGCAGAAACCAAGATTGACGAAAGAAACCATTTATAACCACACATACATGCCTCACCAAAACCTCATGGGGAAATGGTAGATTTCTCATCTCATGTATATATATGAGAGAGGGAGGGAGAGAGAGAGATGCCTTAGGATTAACAGCATTCAAATACGTTGTAATTGTGCGAGCACTTAGGTCACGTTTGGTGAGGATTGGAAGGAGGATAAGTGGCAACACGGATGTAATGTCATCTGTTCAAAGAGAGCACGTGGACCTACTAGGGTCTTGACTCATGGTTATTTGGTTAGGAGATTGTGGTATTTCTTTCTCCCATAGCAACGAACATGCTCTTTTGCTATAAAGGGAATATGTATTCTTGGTTTGTCACATTGTTTTGCAAAAAAATACCTGATGTTGTTGTTAATTGATACGTCTCCGTCGTATCTACTTTTCCAAACACTTTTGCCCTTATTTTGGATTCTAACTTGCATGATTTGAATGGAACTAACCCGGACTGACGCTGTTTTCAGCAGAATTGCCATGGTGTTATTTATGTGCACAAACAAAAGTTCTTGGAATGACCTCAAACTCCACGGAGATTATTTTTGGAAATAATAAAAAAATACTGGCAAAGAATCAAGGACAGGGGGCCCACACCCTAGCCACGAGGGTGGGGGCGTGTTTGCCCCCTGGGCGCGCCCCCCTGCCTCGTGGGCCCCCTGGAGCTCCACCGACCTCAACTCCAACTCCATATATTCGTGTTCGGGGAAAAAAATAAAGGAGAAGGATTCATCACGTTTTATGATACGGAGCCACCGCCAAGCCCTAAACTCTCTCGGGAGGTCTGGTTTGGAGTCCGTTCGGGGCTCCGGAGAGGGGAATCTGTTGCCATCGTCATTATCAATCTTCCTCCATCACCAATTTCATGATGCTCACCGCCGTGCGTGAGTAATTCCATCGTAGGCTTGCTGGACGGTGATGGGTTGGATGAGATTTATCATGTAATCGAGTTAGTTTTGGTAGGGTTTGATCCCTAGTATCCACTATGTTCTGAGAATTATGTTGCTATGACTTTGCTTGCTTAATGCTTGTCACTAGGGCCCGAGTGCCATGATTTCAGATCTGAACCTATTATGTTTTCATGAATATATGTGAGTTCTTGATCCTATCTTGCAAGTCTATAGTCACCTACTATGTGTAATGATCCGGCAACCCCGAAGTGACAATAATCGGGACCACTCCCGGTGATGACCGTAGTTTGAGGAGTTCATGTACTCACTATGTGTTAATGCTTTGGTCCGGTACTCTATTAAAATGAGGCCTTAATATCCCTTAGTTTCCACTAGGACCCCGCTGCCACGGGAGGGTAGGGCAAAAGATGTCATGCAAGTTTTTTTCCATAAGCACGTATGACTATATTCGGAATACATGCCTACATTACATTGATGAATTGGAGCTAGTTCTGTGTCACCCTAGGTTACGACTATTACATGATCGATCGCATCCGGCATAATTCTCTATCACCCATCCATTGCCTACGAGCTTTCCATATATTGTTCTTTGCTTATTTACTTTTTTGTTGCTATTGTTATCATCACTATAAAACACCAAAAAATTACTTTTGCTACTGTTACCTTTTGCTACCATTACCACTACTATCATATTACTTTGCTACTAAATACTTTGCTGCGGATATTAAGTTTCCAGGTGTGGTTGAATTGACAACTCGGCTGCTAATACTTGATAATATTGTTTGGCTCCCCTTGTGTCGAATCAATAAATTTGGGTTGAATACTCTACCCTCGAAAACTGTTGCGATCCCCTATACTTGTGGGTTATCAAGACTATTTTCTGGCGCCGTTGCCGGGGAGCATAGCTCCATTCTTTGAGTCACTTGGGATTTATATCTGTTGGTCACTATGAAGAACTTGAAAGACGTGAAAACAAGAATTTATCCCTCAACTACGAGGGGAGGTAAGAAACTGTCATCTAGCTCTGCACTTGATTCACCTTCTGTTTTGAGTAAGCTTGCAACACCTAAACCTGCCTCTGCTATTAATTCTTATATGTCACATATTATTGATGATGCCACTTCTGCTATGCATGATACTTATGATGAAACTACTTCTATGCTTGATACTACTGTGCCACTTGGTGAATTTCTTGATGAACAACTTGCTAGGGCTAGAGAGAATGAAATTATTGAAACTGATAATATTGATGAAAGTGATGATGAAGGCTCTCCTAATAAATATGAATTTGCCTATTGTGCCTAAGGGTTATGTTATGGATGAAGAAACTAAAAGAGATTTTCTTGCTTGCAATGATAGAAGTGATCTTAAGAAATTATTAGCTAAGCTTAAACAAAAAACTCTGAATGCTAGAATGAAATATGATCCTGCTTATGCTACTTCACCTATCTTTGTTACTGATAAGGATTATGAATTCTCTATTGAT